GGGCAGGGAGGCTGTGGAGGAGGAGGGGACCGGCGGCGGGTGGCTGAGAGGGAAAGGGCAAGAGTAAGCCCGGCAGAGCCCGAGTGGGAACTGTCCCACGTCGCCCTCTTGTCACCAGGGGAGGTGGTGGCGTCCCCATCCTCACTGAGACCCAGCTCAGAGAGGGCAGCACTTTGCCCAAGGTCACACAGCCAGGAAGGGTAGGGACTGAGGCACGGGGGGGAGCGGCGAGGGGCTGCCACTTCCCTGATCTCTGCGGGATGCGGGACTGAGTGGCTTCCCTGAGACTCCACGGAGAGTCAGAGAGGAGCCGCTCACTTCCAAAGGCTGCCTGGGCTGTGTGCGCGTGACTGTCTGTCTGTGTCCAGGGGAAGAGACACCCGGCCTTTCAGGGGCCTTTCTCCCCCTTGCTGCAAGCCGGGCCAGAGGCTGGGGTCCCTGGGACTCTCGGGACTAGCAGAGGTGGGGGAGCCCTGTGAACGCCAGGTGGGGCCTTGGCTGTCCTTGTAACCAGCCCAGTAGGGTTCCAGGCTTGTCAAGGGGGAGCCTGTGGGGTAGGGACACTTTTGGGTCCTGTTGGGGTTTGAATACCTTGTCATCAGAAGTGTCTGTCACAGGATTCCTGTTCCCTAAAGGCTGGGGTGGGGCCACCCTGGAGACACATAGTTTTGGGGAATCTGGGAGGTCAGCAGGCCCCCAGGAGAAAAGCAAGGAGCTGGGTGTGGCTCCTGTGCTCCCCACTCCACAGCACTGTGGGAAGAGAAAGAACCCAGGCAGGACCCCTAAAACCCCAGGATGGGCCAGCCCTGGTGGTGGTGCTCCCCTGGTATCCCAGCACTGGGAAGCTGAGGCAGGAGGATCCCCATGAGTTTGAGGCCAGCCTGGGCTGCACAGTAAAGCCCTGTCTCAAACAAACAAACAAACAAACAAAAAACAAAACCCGCCCCCAAACGATAGGGGGGCTGAAGAACTGCCCCGAGAGCACCCTTAAATGTCCCCACACGTGACCAAAGTCATTGTCCTCTATGGGGACCTCCTTCCAGAAGGGTCTCCAGAGCGGCCACCCCACACATGATGGACAGAATGGAGTGAGTGACAGGCGCCTCTTTCCACGCCGGAGAACCGGGTCAGGAGAAAGCATCACCGGCCTGCCAGATCTGGGGGAGAGCCCCTGCTGCACCCAGGAACCGCATGGGGAGCGGGACACCGGGACACCCCAGAAACTTCCAGGACGGCAGGGCCTGCTGTGGGTCCCAGCCAGGGCGCCCGAGGCTGCGTCCTCCTGCCTCC